ATGTCTCTTCTTCCTTTTTCCCATGTTGGGCAGTCAGCTCAGACACTTTTACTCCACAATCATCTCGTTGTAGAAAATTGTAAATATATTTAAAATAATCTAATAATAAAAATCTAATTTAAAATCTACATTAACCTAATATACGTATTTGACTGGAGCTATCTAAAAGGAAAAAAAATGTAAAATATACTATTTAAAATAGTATAAAATTAAAAGGCAGGAGCATAGAAAAACGTGTGTTGCTGGGCTGGTGAGTGAGACTCCACCCCTCAATCTTGCAAGTCTCTTTCTGCCTTTACAGAAAGGTGCAATTCACTAATATCTTAGATTCCAATTCTAAAAATTACCTTATAACCCAAACTAGCCTGAAGCTTTCATGCCTTATAGAATGTGTAATACCCTATCCAAGCCTCCTCGCTCCAAAGGTGACTTTACCAAAGGCATGGCAAAGAAAATTTTAGGAATGAGGATTTCAAGAGACGTTAAATACTTACACAGGTGTGGTAATGGATAAGAGAAGTAATATAACAATATAACGAGAAATAATATATATAGTTGCTTATTCCTCTTGTTAATAAAACTGAAATCACTTGTTCTTGTAGCAAGAAGCAAATCTGTAGATAGGAGTGAATTTAGTTTGGTTTTTCTTTCTTATGTTGTAAATTTGGCACATTCAATTTGTCATACTGTTCCCCCCCCCCCCCAAGCACTGTATGTACTTTGGTGCACATTTCTCCAAACATGTGCATTTTTGTTTAAAGTTTTCATAACTTTAAATATTTTTGTATAGACTTTTCCTAACTAGGTAGACAGATTTTGGTAAAATGTAGACATTTGGTGAACTGTGAATATGAATGATAATTACATTTCAGTTTCCATTAGATAATTAGATAAATTTGCATTTCAAAATGAATTAAACACTTTTCTTCACCATCTTTAAATCTTTCTACAGTTTTGTTAAGATCAAGAGACTTTGATGAGTCTCCCCTCTCCCTCAGTTTTCATAACAAGCAAGTATCTCAGTCAGTTGCTCTGTGCTTTCCCAGGTAAGTTTGCACCCATCACAGGCATGAAAATGCTCTTTCACCAGCAACTGTTGATGCAGGAATGTTAACACATCTCACGCATAATTTATGTGGTTCACAGAAAGCAAGTTTGCATGGTTTCAAAAAAGTTAGCTGTAGTAGACAGTCTTGAATTTCTCATCTTCATAAATGTTTAACTTCTCTCACATTTTGGACTAAGGCCAAGGACGCCATTAGAGACAAATTTCTTTTCAGACAATATTTCTTCCTTTAATCTCTGCAGTTACTTTATAAAGTACTGACAAAAAGATGTTTTTGAAAGGAGTCATTTATTTCTTCAAAGGTTCATAAAATCTAAGTTTTTATTAGGTTTAGGTAATACAATCAGGACTTTTCCCATGAATCTGGGATCTGTTTACTGTTTATAATACTATTAAATAAGGCAGTTGTGGGCCAAGATGACACCTTCTATTTTCTTGTAAAATAATTCTGTAAATCCAATTTTCACTGGTTTTATCTTCTGATTAGCCATTTTAACCATTTTCTCTTATTGGTTTATTAAGAGTTTTCGTTTTATCTTTATCTTTTTAGAAACATAAAGCTACCCGCACTGTTCCTCACTGAATTAGTAGGCCTAAAACCCATGAGGTTTGCCATCCAGAGTGCTACTTCTCTGGCCTTAGAGTGCCATTGCTTAAAAAACATTCTCCACAGGCAGTGTATGGTATTTTTAACACTATTTCTTTTTTGATGTGTTTCCTCTAGCCATATGGTATCTGATTTACTAGAATTTTACTACTTCTTTTGCACTTAATTACTGATCCAATCCCATTAAGTTTCCCTGAGACAATATTCAAATTAGTCATATTTCAACAATTCATATATATAAAACAGAGGATATATTTGAGAGAGCATAGTAATTTGTATAATATAAAATTCAGCTTCTAATGTATTTCCCCATTTAAACTTAACCTTCCCTTCCCTGTTCTCTACGTTCCCAACAATGCACACCCACCACCTCCAGAAGTGACAGAAACTTCTTGTACCGGTAAACTTGTTCTGGGATTCAGTGGAGGGTAAATATAAACTTCTGCTTCTCCCCTCCAATTTCAAGATACAGGCATACATATTATAACAGTAATGAATTATTAAAAAATAAAAATAGGAGGAAATGATTTTTTTCTTTATTTCTTATTAAGAAATTAATATTTCATATTATTTCTTATTCATCATTAAAACAACCTCTCTGTGTGTATGTGTGTACAATCTCTATTTCATTATGTTTTATTACTTTATCATTTCCCTTTGTATTTGTTAGGGTATACTCATAAGTAAAGGAATTTTACTGTGTGAATAACACAGAGAATGACAAAGCAAACCACGTAGCTGGAGCTCATGGCTAATGAGCTAATTGCCAGCAACTGACTAGGAATGAATCAGCACAATGTAAGGAACATAAGTAGCGTGGGTGGAATGTACGCTTGCTGAGTGTTTCTGAGTGTTGTTGGTTAGTAAGTAAGTTAGGTGTGTTAATGTATATATAGGAATTACAGTATTTGCCTGTAAGAATTAGCTTGGGTATATTATTGCACATAATCTGTGGATAGTACAAAATCAGAGTCCAAGTTTTCTTCCAGCACCACTCGTAGCCTGGCATATAGCGCTACTCTGACGGTATTTGGCTTTTTAACTCTTGTTAGCTGCCTGGAGTTACATAGTGAGTGGGCAGCCATATAAGTTGGACAAACAAACAAATATAAGCCTCGAGACTCTCTTTTAATTAGCTTAATTGTGGCTGAATCCCTTTCAAAGATTTATTCATTTTAAATTGTTATTTATTTATCATATTTATATAGCCTCCCATCTCACAAAACGTGATCTCAATTTGTATGTGGCAGAGCCATCTTCAATCTTCAATCTTCATGATTATGGTATTTTGCCTGCCTTCATTGTTATAGGCTGAAAATGAGGTGAGACAAGCAAGAAACCATAGGTGGAAATAAGTAAGATATACTGAAACTTTCTGATAACCACAAAAAGGCACAGTAAGAAATGATGAACTTCCCAAGTACCCAAGCTCACTTAAGCAAAAGACATGTGTCTGAATCTGCCTAGGAACAAATCTTTGTATAAAACTTAGTGAAACAACAAAAGGAATTGAGTTGCTTCTGTGTCTAGACCAGACTTCTCTTTTTTTTAACAAGACTTTTATTAAGATATATAAAAAGTACAATTAAAATACAAATCACAAAGTATAGAAGAGAAAGAAGATAGAACTAAAAGAAAAAGGCAAAAACTAAAGTGAGATCAAGTAGAAAGATAAAACAAAGTGACTTCTATCTCCAATAGATATAAGTACAAAAAAAAAAAAATCTTACCACTATTTAATCCTAATTCACATTATTTCTATCAACACAAATAATTAAATCCCACAATCAAAGCTTCATTTTTTCCCAACCCACGCACATAATCTAGGAAGGGTTGCCATGAGGAGACAAATTTAGAAACAGTATTATCTCTTATTAAAGCTGATAGCTTCGCCATTTGAGCCAAGTCCATTAGTTTAATAATCCATTCTTCCACTGTAGGTATTTGTAAGTCTTTCCATCTTTGCGCATATAACAGTCTTGCAGCTGTGATCATATATAGAATAGACCAGACCTCTTATTGCTCTGGCCAGTGCTTTGGCCACATCTGGTTTTGTGAGGGTCCAGGCATGATTGGATGTAAGAATGGTGTGTGGAGCTAGCTTTGCTTAAGAAAATCAATACAACTTTATTGTGGGTCTGATTTCACTCAGGTACTGGGTATTTTTATTTTAAAAACCTTTAGTTTATCTTAAGGATCTCTCCACCTGTTTTATAGTGTGAATGCATGTCTGCAGGGCAGGAAGTGAAGCGTGTCTGACTATAAGTGGAGCAGATTCTGTAAGAATATAGAATTCTTTAACAGGTTTCAGCAGTGTTAACTATAGTGGAAGATAACTTGGGAAATTGTTGCAATGATTTAATTACTTTTGACCAATCATTAAGTCTTTTTTAAAATTCAGGAACTAATTCTGTTAGTAAGAAAGAAGCAGAATCATCACCTTCTTTGTGTTACAAAACTTTTATTGCCGTGCTTGATTGCCCCTCCTTATTGGAGGTCTTTTAAGATATCCGCTATCTCCTATTTTCTTAAAAAGTAGGATCTGATATTCTTTTCTTTGGCAGCCTTTGTTCTCCCCCAACAAAAAATCTTTATCAGGAGAGGGAAATAAATCAGTTCCTTTTCTGGGTAGTTTAAATGTAAGAGAAGAGAGATGGAACAGCAAAGTCAAGACACCATCTCTATCGGTGATTGTACCATTGTATTGGTTGATATTCAGAGAGAAGATTATTCATGTTTACTGGATGAGGATAAAGTTTTTAATGATTTTTGTGATGTAAAAATAAATGTTTAGCAGAAATTGTGATGTAGTAAAAAAAAAAAGTTTTGTCTTTTCACTCCAGAAATTGTCCTTGAACAACAGAATTTGACTAGAGGTTTTTAAAATTGAACTCAACCACCTTGATTAAGGACAGGAGGCTTTCTACAGAAATGATTCACTGAATGTACTTGAGGAAGAATCTGTGAAGAAAATATGGCTGCCCAAGAAAAGCATATAGTGACTTCTTCCTCAGCAAGATCAGCTGTAATAAAACTTTTCATCCGTTTATTGACAGTTCAGGTAATGCTGGTAGGAAATGTTTTATGTGGGCATGTGCTTATTTGGCCAACAGAAGCCAGCCATTGGCTAAATGTTAAAATCATCATTCAGGAACTGATAGACAGAGATCACCATGTCAGCATCCTGGTTTCAACAGCATCTATCTTCATCACACCTGGAGATATTTCAGCTGCCAAGTTTGAAGTGTACCCTGTGCCCTTTACAAAGGAGGAGTTTGATTCTTTGATCACGGATATCATAAAGTTGTGGTGGAATAACAAACCAACTACTCCAACCTTTCACAAGTTTTATCAGGAGCTAGGGAAGCTGATGGAGAAAGCAAATAAACTCAATAGGCAAATGTGTGAAGCAGTCCTGTCTAATCAAGAACTCATGTTTAAGCTAAAGGAGGCGAAATATGATGTGCTTCTTTCTGATCCTGTGACAATATGTGGTGATCTGATTGCTTTGAAGCTGAACATCCCATTCTTGTATACACTGAGGTTCACTCCAGCTTCAACAGTGGAGAGACATTGTGGAAAAATACCTGCCCCTCCTTCTTATGTTCCAGCTGCTTTATCTGAGCTCACAGACAGATTGTCATTTGGAGAAAGGATAAAAAATATTATCTCTTACCACATTCAAGACTATGTTTTCCAGAAATACTGGGGGAAATGGGATTCCTATTACAGTCAGGTTTTGGGTAAGTCAGATTTATTTATTTATTTACTTTCCAAGTATCATTTATTGGTATAGTTTTCAGTACAGAAGGCAAAAAATTAAATTGTGGCCCTCTCTACTTAAACGAACTTTCATGAAGCAAAATTAGAAAAGCCTCATTCTGAAGTTATAAGTTAAGCACATTACTACAGGTTGGAATAGACGTGCCTTTGTCAATCCTACTTGTATTCTATTGGCTGGGGTCAGTGGGAATTGTGGTACAAGATGTGGAGGAAAAACTAAAGTAGGTAGTTCTAAGCATAAGAGTCTGAATCACTCAGAAAGAATAGATTGTTCTGTGTCTTTAGTAGGTTTACTCCAATTAGACTTCTACTCCCCCTGAATTCTGGTTTAACTTGCAGGATTTATAAAATTAATTTCAGAACTGCTTCAACTTTCAATTCTTTTATTCTTTCCCATTTTTATTAACAATATATACATACATACATATCACTCAAACTTTCTTAATGTGACTATATTTATGATTTCATGCACCCAGAATGTTTTGTGGAAAGTTTTACAGTACTGATATACACATATGTGCATTAGTACAAGGCCACACAAAGCAATATTGATGCAATAAATGTATAACGCCATAACATTTGTTTCTCTTTTTGGTTTTGAATAATACGTCATGCACATTTGTAGATGTAGAAGAGAGAGGTGTAGAAGAGGAAGAAAAATGCAAAGTAATCAAAAACGGTAGTAATTTATAGATTCATAGTTCTATACAAATTCAGTATTAAAATTTAGTAACAATAAAGGAATCCTAATGTGCATTAATTTTAGTGCCTGAACATAATTTCTTTTGAGCAAGTGTGGTGTTTTTTTGAATATCAAAAACTAGATGATAAGCTGTTCTCCTTTCAGAGGTGTCCGCTACGTGAAGTCAAAATGGCAGCTGCGCTGGTATGATCAAAGCTCGACCTGTTTCTTATGTGTATCATGTGTGCAACACACATAAAAAACAGGTGGAGCTTTGATCACCTCATTGTGGCTACCATTTTGACATTTTTGACCTTACCCTGCGGACACCTTGTCTCCTTTAGTTCCTTTTGGCCCCTTTGTTTTGTTTAAGCTTCTTATTTTTCTGACTGCCTAATTTCTATTTCTGGCCAAACATGGCAGTGTGACTGTCATATTTTGTTTTCTGTTCCTGAGATCTAGAGATGTGATTCCTATAGAAACTCATAAGTCCTATAAATTGGATCTACTGTCTCACTTTAAATTTGGGTTCTGCATATTTATTTTACAGTATAGTAAATAAAAAACAAAAATAAAACCCAAGCCAGCTGAATGTTGTCTATTTAACAGCAGGTGTAATTCTGTCATCTTCCTGTATTAGGGAATAGCACCTTATTATGAACACTACTTGTTCTGTTCAAAAATTCTTTCTGCAAAACTGATAAGATATGGGTCACCTCATATAGATACAGAAAAATAAGGTGTCCTAAACTTCCTCAAATATTAGCTTTATTTTTGTTAATAACAATGGGCTTGCAGCACAAGATGTGCCTCTAAATTTCTGTGTTTGGGTAGTGTTAGATCTGTCTGCCCTGCCTTTGCCAAACAGAAATCTCTCAGATTGTCTCAGCGTTAAGCTTCATTTTGAAGTTTGCCCTTCCCTTCACTTAAAGCTGAGGTCTTCACAGGAAAAAGATGGTGATCTGAGTAGCTGGCCATACAGTTGGTCAAGAAGAAGCACAGAGTACTGAAGTATTCCAGGCCTGGGGGGCCTACAAGCTCTCCAGATACCATTTGCATCAAAATTGCCACTGTCACAGATCATTGGCAGAGTAATTGGAACAGACAGGAATTGGAGTCCAAGACAACTAAAGGACTAGGGATTGCCTACCTCTGATCTGTGGAAGTTTACTTATGTTTCCATTTCTAGACCTTTTTTCCATGGCAATGTTGGATATCAACTTTTTGAATTTTCTTAGGAAGAAAAAAGGTGTATGAAACTTCAGGATGCTGAAGCTTATCCAAATACTGTAGTGTCAAAATAATTCATTGGACTTAAAAACCACATGGTGCTGCTGTACCAAGAATTAATTCACCTGCAAATTGCAGGGGTGGGAAGCACTTCCCAAAGACACTCTCATGGGTGTCCCACTCTTCTAAGCTATGGAAAATCATTTTGCTGCCACTTCATGTACAATAATGCCCTAGCTCTTCAAACCAGTTGTGCTTTGAACCAGAACAGATGTAAGTGTGACACTGTACATTGATCATATCTTGCTCTTAACATTAGGAATTAGTTCTAACCTGTCATTTGAAGTGATTGCAGTTTTTTTTAAATTAAGGAAGTAAAAATTGTCCATCTGTTAAAAACTACATGACCTGCAACTTGTTGCTCTCCCTCCCCACTGACAATTATTGATATTCTCGACCACCACTTTCACTGAGAGGCCCTGGCACATGTGAAAAAGAACAGTTCAGCTTTGCTTTTAACAAACATCCAATTTAAAAAGATCCAGGTTTTTCTGTCCCTTTCCTGTTCTAGTGGGAGGTTTAAATTCTTTTTGCATAATGTGGATGGAAGAAATATCTTGGCCAAAAGCAGTAAAAGATCTGACCTCTATTGTCATTAATAAACTTACCCAAGTTTATTCATAAATAAATAAAGGATTTAAACATCACATTTTCTGGTTCTGTTTGAATACTCCATCTGTTAGATTTGGCTTCATTTTCATTTTACACTTCTAGACAATACTGGAAGAATTGAGTGAAACTCTTTTTCCATATACACAGAGTACATTTTTGCCTATCGGCCTGGCTTTATGATTAAATATGGAACAAAGAAAAATTAACTGGCTCTTAATTTCAGTTATTTCAGTTTTTATACTGGCTGAGTTGTCTAGTAAGTAAGTCACTTTACTATTGTTAAAAAGGATAGCAACAAAGATTAAATACATTTACAGGTTTATATAATTACATGTGGGGTTCTGGGAATAGATACACTTAAAAAATCAAAATGTAGGACTTGTACCTCTTCTGTTCCAGCTTGTATGGGTCAAATTTCTGAAATTTTCTTTGGCTCCTCTATAATCTCTGAGGCTATTTCTTAACTAAATTAAATCCCATCACTGTCAGTCGAGGCAGTTTATGGCCTCATGCCACCATCCCTTTTAGTGCTTTAGCACTCCATCCTTGTAGTGTTTCGATCAGCTCTATTTCCCAATTTCAAGCAGATAGTATTGGAAACAAAATAATATATAAGGCTATGCTGACTTGATGGTGAATCAGCTTACCAAGCAGTCATACCAGGATATGGCTGGGGAATTTCAGTAATGATACTGAGCTTCCCTAGTAGTGTAGCTCATGGCCACTATTATTGGTATATTACTGGTATCTTATACCACACATCTGCATTCCATAGTAGCTTTGTAGTTTGTCTCCTGTGTGACTCAGATGATTGAAGCTTAATTTTGGAAACAAATACAAGTCTCCATTTCTAATTCAAACTTGAGATACGTACCTCTGAATTGAGTTTTTTTAAAAAATGGAAATGAAGAAACAACTTTTTTTCTGCCATGAGTCTGAGTTGCCATTTCCCTTTTAGGACTTATCCACACTGTCAGTTGCCCCATCACCAGAATGGGCAAACTGCTTCAGGAGAGCAGAAACAGATGGCATCACCTTCCATTCATCTCTCACTTATCATGAAAGTGACTTCAGGGCATGTTTTTCCTTGTGACTTCTGAAGTACACTTTTCCATCTTAGATTACCTCAAGTCTTTATGTTTGGGATAGTACACTTCAGTTGGTTGCAGGCTAACTCCAGCAGATCCTTGGCTTCTTTGCAGAGAGAGGATAGGAAACCTCTTCAAATGAGCCAGTGCTTACCATGCTCTTTGATAGTTTCCATACCTTCCTATTTAACATTGCTAAATAGCAGGAAATCTTTGCGAAGCATAGAGAAGATTGCTGGTTTGAAACTCAGCAGGTATTTTTTAAAATTACAGTATTTTTCTTGAGTGGTTAGTTTTCCCCCTAAGCTTTTTTTGAGTCCAGGGTTTTACTATTTTATCAATCTCCTGAGGTAAATTCCACCCCCAGCACCCAGAAAGCCTAAACAAACCTATGCATTGTTTTGAGCTGCTCACTGCCTGTATGTACTGTATGGGCAGTTGATGTTGTGCTTTATGACTGCACATTCCGGTCCCATTAGTGTTGTAACCCGAGGACTACCTGTAAGTTAGACCTGTTATAATTAAGGCTTTCCTGTTTATCCTGCTGACTGGACCATTAGGTATCTGCCTCAAATCCTGTCCTGAATACTCTGTTGTATGAACACAGTATCATAAACCTGTTATCTTATTGTAAATCTCATATAATTTTATATTGTGTGATGATTTCTGATATTTCCACTCCATTTTTTGCTTTTTGTGAATAAAGGTATGGGTTCAGAAATTAGCTGATGTTATATTGTCAATGTTGAGAAAACTTGATTCATTCTTCTCCAGTGTTGGGCCTAAGAATGCTGAGAAAACCATCCCAGAATTTATTATGTGCCACTGATGTTCACCATTTTAAGGACTTCTTTTTCCTTTTCACTTAAAAATGAATTGGGGATGGGAAAAATAAGCCCCAATTTGTGGGATAATCAATAAATGGGAAAATCTTGTTGTTTGCTACCATGCTGCAGCTACATGCAGGTTCATGTGGGAAGGGGAGGAGTCTAGAATGTCAGTCACTGATTTAACGTGATGCCAGTGCTCCATCTTAGCAGAAATTGTGCTTTCCCTACTAGACTACCAGTCTAATGTAATCTTTAGAAAAGATGCAAAATTTTACATTATAGGAATTCCAGTTAAACTAGTTGGGTCCACAATTCCCACATTGGCTTATGACGTTTGACAGCCCATTTTTATATTTGACTATTATTTTTACTAATATTATCACAATTTTACTTTCTTCCCTTTTGCTTTTTATATTCACTTCTTAATCTACTGCTATTTGTTTTATCTACTCTATGTAATTTCTTTTGGTCTATGACTGTATTTTTAAGAAAAAAATCCAAATCAGATCCATGATTTATTTAGCTTAGTATTGTCCACACTGAGAACAGCTCTCTAGGATTTCAGGCAGGAATACTGTATTTCCATCCACATCCTTAGAGGGGAATAAAAAAGAGATTTTCTGAGGGCAAATGTAGTTTCCCTCTGGTGGTGATGGAGGGAATCAATGGATGTGGAGGCTAAAGGAACTGTTCCTCGTTGAAAGGTGAAGAAAGTTTTTCTTTTTAGGTTGCAAAAGTACTGTTTGAAATTCTAAACCAGCAATGTCATCTATGGCAAGGCTGAAACATAGCATTATCTGCCTAAAGTACTATACTATAGTTCCTTAGAAGCAATGATCTCCAGAGCAACTTTACAGTACGCTCAAGCCAATGGTTGTTCAGTTTATGGAATCAAGATAAGGCTGAGATCTGGACTGAAAAAATTGAAATGACCACTTGATGGCAGCAAACAGTTGGGTTTTTGTCTTTTTGCTGCCATCTAGTATTTCTCCAGACATCTGCATCCTAGATCTGGTAACCCTAGTTAGGAGTATTTCCTATTTTTGGAATACTCCCATTTAGATGTAGAAAGATGAGAGAAATACATTGGAATTGGGAAAGTATAAGAGTTTTGTAGTAATCTGTGCACAAAATGCTCTCCTCCCTGTAGAATGAATGGGGATTGTCCTTTCCACATGTTTTCCCTCCGATTTTAGCTATCATCCTCCACAATATTTGTTCCCTGTTCTGTAGAATTACAAGGTGGTTCAACGTAACTTTTTCCTACTGAGAAACATGTGTCACTCAACACTGCCAAATCTTTAGAAACAGAATCTAACCACGTTGTGTATTTTAAAGCTGTGACTAATGTTCAGTTGAAAACATAATGTATTGATTTTCAATATTTTTGAAATCAGCATCTCCAAACCTGTTACATAATAATGCAGGAGAAACAAGCAGAACATAACCTCAGTCTTTTCTATCTGTAGGGAGACCTACAACACTATGTGAAACAATGGGTAAGGCAGAAATATGGTTGATCCGAACCTACTGGGATTTGGAATTCCCACGACCTTTTCTACCAAACTTTGAATTTGTTGGAGGTCTGCACTGCCAGCCAGCCAAGCCTTTACCTGAGGTAATTATCCCCTTTGCCATTTACCTGATAATAACAGAGCGTTTTCAAAGAAAGTACAATAGGAAAAAAATGCCTCAGAAACAGAATTTGTTTCAATAAAGTAAATTTTGGATTGTCTTCCTTGCCTGAGATAGTTTGTGGCTTCAATTATTTGCAGCTGAAAAATACAGGGAGCCATAGAATAAAGCTGATCTGAAATGACATTAAGATTGGGAGACAGGCACAATCTATTCTTGTACTGCAGCTTGCATCCCAGTGATGACTAAAAAGAGAAATGGAATGGTAAAAAGAGATTTCAGTAGGGAGTCAAACATGAAGGAGGGTCCAAAGGAACTTGAGTACATTCAGAGCTAACTTGCAGATCAGCTGACTATTTATCACCACTTGCAATGGGATTTTTTTACTAGAATAACAACCCCAGTGGGGTAGAAAGATTAGAAACTCCTGCTGTATTTAAATATCAGACTGGAAAAGAGCAATAGCAAGAGCCAGCTTAGCAACTACACAAAAAGGACTTTGTGCTAGTTGTCAGAATATATGCTACCATATAGATACCAGTAAATAAATAAAAATATATAAATGAAATGCCTATCTAAGGCAACAGGCCTTTAAAAAAAAAATTAGCCCTTGGCTGTCTTTCTTTCCTGCTTCTTTGCTTTTGAACTGGCAGATTTGGGCAGGGGTGAAATGAATCTAACTCTGCTTCTGAATAGTAGCCACTAGTTGGATGGGTGCTCCAAAACGTGTTTCCAGGTTCTATGGATTAGAAATCACCCTTCTTGTTTGGTGATTTGACCAGAGATAAGGATACTCTTGAATGGTAATTATTTATGGTTTAAAAAGCTAGGTGGAAGAAGCATCTTACTATTTTCCTCAGTGTTGTCTTTTTCATAGATTTTGGGTTAAGACAAGCTCACCCAAAAGATGCTGTTGGAAACCATACTGTTCCCTGTGCATATGTTTACTTTTTGGGGGGGGGGGACTAGAAATGTTGAGTGGAACTTGTTTAATAAGAGTTCTGGGCCCCTCTTGAAGACCTGAAAGACCAAGTTAGGGGCAGATCGTCATGGAGAAAATCTATCTATGTGATTGCTAAGAGTTGGCACTGACTTGATGGCAAATAATCAATCCTCCTTTTGCTTAGATTCAAAACATAACACGTTCTGTGTGTTAGAAAATCCCATTTCTTCATGCAACTCAAATTCTGAGACATTGTAAAGTTTACAGGTAAATCAAAATACGTTGATCTGCATTTCTTTCTGCATTATTTAGTCTGCTTCCAAAAGTTAATTTTTCAAAGAAACCAAGTGACTTATGAACAGGAATCACTTGCCTGTCTTGAATGCCAACACAAATAAATAACTGATATCATATAATATACATCATAGGATGTAAAATAAAATCAATTACAAGCCCCTTTGAAAACGACTAAGTAGACATATGCCTTTTTAAAACTATTTCTGAGTAGATATAGGGTTCTTATGCATGGGCCAATTGTAACTAAAAGCTAATTGCTTTAAATTTTAGTTGGGTTGGGGAGTTGGGTTGGAGTCTAAATATCCTTAGATGATACTTAGTTATATCAGACCAAAAATCTCTGCCTCCATCACTCCCTGCAGTTAGGAATTAATTGTACAGACATTGTGACTTAGTTCTCACATAGTTAGTGAAAAATAAGAGAAAAGCTGGCATTTGCAAAAACAAGAGAGAGATAGAGACAAGCTACGCCATTCAAAGAGGGAGCCAAATATGAAGGGTGAGAAGAGGAAAGAAATGCGAGAGTTTGAACATTGTTTCTATATAATCATGAATTACAACTGTTGCAGAAATTCTATTGGTTATGGATTCCTAACTTCCTTCAATAAATACTATTTATCATAAGTTCTGGGATTTCTTGTGAGCTTGTCTGTCTTGAATGCCAATACAAATAAAGAATTGATATCATACAATGGCTCAAACTATAAGATGAAAACCATCATGTTTCCAATTCAGATCCTACTTTAATCCAACTGATCCAAGATAAATATAGATATAAATGTATGCTTCTAGTTCTGTCTGCCGGGGTGAAGGCTGACACATTGTAGTGGTTTATAGATGCAATGTATGGAAGTGCTTTGATACCTCAAGGTATACATATATGCATGTACATGCTAAATTGTATTGCGCAAGTTTTGTTTCTTTGACATGTTTTCTAAAGAAGCGTATTGATTATTTATTTTATCTTTTTGTTTCCTTGCTCCTCATTGCTGTTCTACAGCATATGAATGCAAAGTCACAAGCAGTAATAAGATAGTCCTAAAGAGATGTATTCTGTAACATTAAACTCTCTTGGGTTCAGAAGAGTTTACTATTAGATTAAAATTTACAGAATAGTAAAGACATTTGGATTGTACAGTGTTAACACTTGCATGGTTGATTATAAAGCATGGACATTTTTCTAATAGGCCTTTAAAGATAACAGCACCAGCTAAACTATTTTTGTGGTACAGAAGATAGAAGCATCTTTCTCAGGAAGTAAAAATACGACAGTAACCAATCACTTTTATTTTGATTCCTAAGAAAACATGCTTTTAAATTTCCTGGCACCCGAACATTTTGATAAATGTCATGACATGTAGAATCACCTGACTGAGGCAGCTGCCCTATTCTTGCCCAAGGAATCAGCCTTTGGTGAAACGCAGACTGTCTTCTTCCTTATAGCCAATTAAGTACAACAAATTGGGGTTGAATTCTGGTGACTGGACAAACATTCCCCATCTAAACTTCACCCCAGAAGGAACTTGTAGTTCTTTCAAGGACAACCCAGGAAACTCTGTAATCTTGACCAGGCACCTAATTTGGTTTGATTTCTTTTACTTCCCTCAACCTTGCCAAATGTAATTTTCCCCCCTATCATATGGCCAAAAGTATGTGGCTTGTGCATATTGATCAATGCCAACCAAGGAAAACTCATTAACATTCCATGCAATGATAGGTCTGATTCTTTCCTCCCCTTGCTTTTAACAGGAAATGGAAGACTTTGTACAGAGTTCAGGTGAACATGGTATTGTAGTATTTTCCCTTGGTTCAATGGTTCAAAACTTAACAGATGAAAAGAATAATATAATTGCGTCAGCACTCAGCCAGCTTCCGCAGAAGGTCAGTTTCCTGGATGTAAGTTACACACACAAATTTCCTGGGAGGTAGAACACTATTTGTGGATGCTCCCTGACACACAGGACCTATTGGTTTTTATTCTCATTTTTATTGTAAACCACCCAGAGTTGCTCTCTGAGATGGGTGGTGACTAAATTTGAAATATAAATACATATACAGTACTTATTTTCCTCTCCAATAAATCGCTAAATGTTTATGGATTTACAGGAAATGCTTAACATTTCTTTAATTTTCATTTGTTAAAAAAATCATTGATCTGTATCTGAAATTTTCTTATTGTGATAACTTTTAAGTTGTGTGGAGTTTGACCATTTAGTACGTATGCATTGTTTGTATGGATTTTCAATTAATTTTTTGTAACTTCACTCTCCTCTTTCTGAAAATTCCCATAGTACTGGGAAAGGGAAGGGATTGCAATTACATTTTTGTTAAAACTCATGTTTTCTATGTATTTTATGGTAAAAGGCACAAGAAGTACCAGTAGACATCTGCTAAATTCTGGTATGCAACATAAATGCTTTAAATTGGCAAGTGGAATTTAAAGCACAATATTGAGCAAAATGAGTTCACTATTTTGCCATCATGAAAAAGAATGACAACATCTAATTGTATTCATTTAGTGCATTTAAATTACCTTGCAATCCCACAGGAGTCTCAGCAGTTTCACAAGGATGCAAACATTAAAAGATCCATGGTCTAATAAAATCCCCAAAACCAACATAAGCTAGAAAATCTGGAATTCATGGGCCAGCAAAAATCTTAACATTGTTTGCTATTTGGACAACATAGACTAGCATTCCAATTACTTCTATCCTAGGTTATTTGGCGGTACAAAGGGAAAAAGCTAGATATGCTTGGAGCCAATACAAGGACCTATGATTGGATACCACAAAATGATCTTCTTGGTGAGACACCTTATGCTGCTTTGGTGGTGGCTTCAACAAAAATGCAGTATAAAACTGTAGGTATGCTCATATCCTAAATGATTTTGTCAGAACATTTTCATCTTTCCATTTCAGGCCACGCAAAGACCAAAGCCTTTATAACACATGGTGGAACAAATGGGATTTATGAAGCTATTTACCATGGGATTCCCATGGTAGGGATCCCTATGTTTGCAGACCAGACTGATAATATTCTCCACATGAAGGCAAAGGGAATGGCTGTGGAACTGAACATCCATACAATGAAAACAGAAGATTTAGTAGATGCTGTGAATACTGTCATTCACAATGCTCTGTGAGTTGTTTGTAAATTCTCTTCTGAAAGTGAGATATAGATTACTGTCTGTAAATTATGCCTAGGATATTACTTCACAGTAATCAGCTCTGCTGGTTTTTTCCTTTATGATTTTTTTTTGTAAAAATTATAATTCTGGTTACTGCTTCTACCACTTCTGATATTTTATCTTAACCAAGCATCTTCCAACTTGTAATGGAATTTAAAGATTTGTGGCTATATATTTTGACCTCTTGTGTCTTCTTAAAGAGATAGCAGTGGAATATGCACTGTCTAGATTTTACTGGACTGCATTCTCAGTAACCCTTCCAATTGTCTATGCTACCTAGGACTGTTTGGAATTTAGAGGATCATGATACTTACCCTGGTACAGGATACCTTTGTGCTCTGTTCAGTCTTTCTAAATTTAAGGTTCAGAAAAGGATCTTGAAATTCTAGCCAACTTTATAATAATTTTCATACATGAAAATGAATAGAAAGCAATGTAAATGTCAGGGAAGATAACAAAATAGTATTTTAACTGAATGTAATTTGTGAATTGGCTAGCTGTTGGTTACAATAGTCATGAAATTGATTTTAGGTAAGTAACTATAACACAGGCACTAAGCCACTCTGGGCTTGGTAGATTGTTCCATGTAAAGTCTACAGGAACTTGAACGTTGTGGTTCTTAAATGCAATAGAACGCTGATTTCTGGCTCTTTCCCAATTTGTTCTTATTCTTTTCCTCTCTTTTCCTTGCTCTCTCGTTCTCCAGTTTTAAGAAAAATGCACGAAGAATATCACAGATCCATCATGATCAACCAATAAAGCCACTGGACCGGGCTGTCTTTTGGATTGAATTTGTCATGCGTCACAAAGGTGCTAAGCACTTGCGAGCAGCTGCCTATCACTTGACTTGGTACCAGTATCACTGTCTGGATGTCATAGCCTTCTTGATTGGCTGCACAGTAATTTTTGCATTCATAGCTTTTAAGTGCGGCTCATATTGCTTTTGGAAATGTGGCAACATCTTACAAAAATCAAAAACAGATTAATTTTTCTGGGATTCAACCTCCAGTACATGATTTACATAGTTTATGCTCATTCTTAGTACCCTGAAATTTATGTTAACTGTTTCCATATTAGGTTCCATTCATAAAATTAAATTTTATTTGTATGTGTAAATGGTTAACAAATCCACAGTTATTTTTGTTTTAGTTAAGATAATTGTGAAGTCAGAGAGAAATTGAAGCCATGACTGTTTGCAAGTAATGGTAGCTTCTCTATCATTCTCCAAATCAAACTGTTACTTAATTTAGAAATGTAGGTGTATTATGTTGTTTTTCCCTAAAATCCCAATCATTGTTTTCAAAAAATATGCATGGAAATATCTAATATAGAAGAGAGAGGTAACTAGGCAAGATTTTGGTGATGTACTTATTTCCCCTGCTGTCTTCCATAACAAGCATGAGGAAAAAAGTCAGGTTAAAACAATAATTTGTACAAAACTCAAAATACCATGTCAGCTTTATACTTTAGTACAGAGTTCAGACAACTCCCTATGTCATTTTGGTTCTATCTTGTGCTTTGGCTCTTCAGATGGACACATCTTTTAACAAATACACAGAAGTTGCTGCTTTTACCATACCAGTTTTTTATAACTCCTATCTGAACATACTTGCTTTTGTTTAAGGAAAAATCCCAAATGTCTCTGAGAACCTTCATTGCATTTCACTGCCTTTTTTGTCTAATATTCTAATCAACACATGGCCTTTACCAGAGGTAAAAGCTTGGGGAGAAAATTCAAGATTTTTGTTTTCTCAAGGTTTAGAAATATAAAAAACCAATTATGCATTATTTTCTTACAATTGTGAATAAAATGTTTAAGACAAGACATTCATATACAAAATATTTTGCTTCCTGTAGCTGATTTGGTCTTTTGACTGTAATAAGCTTACAATAACTCTCACAAAATTATCTTCCTTACCTATGCAGAGGAAAAATAGTACTTCCCAGGATCATTATACACTGTCCTTGGAAGAGCATAATTCATTTTTTACCCTCAGTAGGATATCTTGTCCTCCTGCTAGCATGACTAGACTTCAAAGGATAGAAAGTACAGAGGAGAGAACAGCAGTCAATTTATTCTCCTAGATATATTTTTTCTTATCTGGAAGGGGATCATTTTAAATTAAGGGGTCTCTTTGGGTACATGCGGTATTAGACATGAGTTAACCAACTGCTTTACTTGTTTCAGACACTGTAAATGTAAAGGCTTAGGAACAAATTCTTCTCTCTGGTCTTGTAGTTCTTCCCTTTATTCCATAAAAGAAGAAAACACCACAAAAATGTTCAAAGAAAACACTGTATATTTTTTAATTGAAATACAAAGGGTTCTGAAGTCAGGATATTAACCCTTTTTTGGCTACATCAATGTATTTTCATTTCCTATATAAATTATAACTGATTTCTAATCTTATAGTTTGTTGCAAAATTACCCAACCACACTTTCAAATTAATTAATATTAATTTAATGTTAATATTAAAATGATTTTATGAGCAATTATACATAAACTGTATTATATTCCTATGGGGACAAAATAACAAGATTGGTAAAGGGTGCCAGGTATTGCAATTTTTCCAATTTTTTGTTTTGTTTTATTTTTAAATCAGGAAAAAAGGAGAAATGTTCTTTCTGAAATCAGAATGTCCAGAAACTTTACACCTCTAGCTTTCTCATTAGTGTACTACTATAATTTCAGACAGATGATTTGCATCCTCTCAGGCATGAACAAGAGTTCTTACTGGCAGTAATAAATAACATGGGGCTTGGCTAAATAAACTAGTATGGAACTGTTCACTGGCCACTGTTCTCCAAAAGCTTTCTATAACAAAACTATGCATTTTCCTGAGTCAGAGATTCTCACACTTTCTACTTTTATGGAGTTGTTAATTTATATGTCACAAAATTATGTATATTAGATAGGAATGGAAATTAATTTTATCCGGGTAATCTTCACCACCTAGGACAACCCCATTGGTGCCTCCTTTTCTCTCAACACTAAGCTGAAGACATTAATATGCCTGAAATGATATTTTCAAATCAATCTTTCTTTTCTTAGAAGCTAGAAAGCATGAAAGTCCATGGAAGTTGACTGTTAGCAATTTATTATAAAAAAAGAAATGGTAGCAATGTAGAATACAACAGTATTTGTGCTCACGCAAACGCACACACTCGCATACAAACACACAGTGGACATTCTAAACAGAATGGACAATCTAGAGGAAAGAAGGGTGCAAAAGAGGTGATTAGACAAGAGCACTAACCAAAATACCATCAGAGCACAGGTTCAATATCATCTTACTATTGCTTTCATTATTGAACAAGCTTGACTTTACAGGAAGTTAAAAAACAGAAACAGAAAAACAAAAAGTGACTGCTTCAACACTGCCATACAGCCAACTATCACACACCCAGTTTTTGCATACTTGATAGCAGCATTCCACCCCACCCCCCACAAGAAATAGTAAAAGCTACATGTCAGAAAACCAGAGCAAAAATTATGGCAGCTATTAACTCTATTCAAAGGAACGTATAATTAAATTACTGTTAAGATAAACATACTGGGAAAATTCATCTACATTCTTTAAATGTTTGCCTCCTAAACTGCTCAAATGAAAGTATCAACTGAAGAGTCAAGCTTTGCACATGTTTTTGGCCGATAGAAGTTTTCCAGTTCACAGCTTATGGCATGCTTGGAACAAACAGGGTCAATTATAAATCCTTCTACACAATCAAGTATGACTTAGGAAAATAAAAGTTTACTACCTGTAAACACGCAAATATACAAGCCTTTGCTTCCTTAAGTAACTGTAGTTTCACAATACATTATCTTCTGTATCTTCCTCTTTCTCCTCTGTCTCTGTCCCGATCACATATCCTTTCCCTCTCCCTCTCCCTCCCCCGTTCTCGATCTCTGTCTCTTCGGGTATCTCGGGGCCGATCTCGTTCACGATCCCGCTCTCTCTCTCGAGGCCTGCTTCTCCGGCCACTGACAACTGCTTGTGTCCGACGTAGAAAGTCATCTACCCTCATGTCATAGTCATGCTATGGGAGACAGAATCACTTTAAATATCACTGAGTTTAAAATCACAAGTCCTTCTACCAACTTGGAATTCCTAAAAATTATACACTAATTATCCAGAGAAATATAGCTTCACAGTCCTAAACTTAGCATATTTAATAAGATTGTTAATATATACTAAAGACTACTTTTATTCAGATAGTAACAATCTTGCAAGTCTGATTGTGGTCCCCCTCCTCTCTCTTTTATAACCATGTGATTTAGGGAGGTGTCTGTCAGAGATGCTTATGAACATGTCCCAGACTTAATGTTTTTCTTCTCAACTCTTTGGTAACTCTTCTTCCCTCTCCCTCAAGATCATCCTCTTTAGAGTTTCCACATGCTGATCTTTTTTTTTTTAATAAATGAAACTTCTGAAATATGCTTGCAAACCTTACCACGCTGTTTTAGAAAAATGGAAATATCTAACCCTACATATATTCATAATTAACATAATGGTTCTCAACCAAATCTGATGTATGCATTTTCTTAACTTGCCACAGTCACTCGGGCTGCACTTACCACTCGCTTATCCCTGTACCGTGCATCATGTGGTATGGGATGGTGTCCTGAGTAAGGAGGGTGAGCCTGTGGAGGAGGAGCATGGTGCTGGTAGTATGGGTGATGGGGAGGCTGTTCTATAGCTGGGTAAGGAGGCTAAAAAGAAACATTTCCTTGTTACTCCAGTAATCTGCAACCCTCAGAACATAGCAGCATCAACAGGAAAGTATAATTCAACATTTAAGCAATACTGCAAGCATGAAAATGCTTCAAAGGAGATATATCTAGGATGGTATTTGGATTCTCATATGATTAAACCTTTTTGCAACAAGCACATTTTCATAACTGTCTACAGAAAAAGGCTGAAGTTCTTTAAAGCATTTTCTTACAGCTACTGCTAGTAAAAGACTCTTAAGATATTCTGTAACATGATAAAAGAAAAGCAGTGGCAGGGAATTGTTATGAACCTTGAATAGCATTCCATGAATAAGGAAGGTCAATTGTTCAACTGAAATCACCCTAATCAATGTTACTGCATTAGGACTGTGCATCAACTACAAATTTGGTTTCAGATCCAATTTGGTCATTCAAAAACAAGGTTTGTTTTGGGATGATTCAAAAAATTCTCCACCTGGATCTTGATTAGAAAACACAAATCCCCATATCATTATCACTGAGAAACAATGATTACCTTTCTTTTGTTTGATACTATTTATGATTTTTTTTTTGGAGGATCTCTTATGAAGGATAATGTGTACAAAATTATGTATCAATAGTTTCGTGGGAATTCACTTTTCAAAGGAAAGAAACTGCTGGCAATTTAATTTCTTTACAGAATTAAATGAATACTGGTTGACCATTATGAGACTGCATCTGCCAAGTTTCATATGATTTTGCTCAGGGAAGCTGTGCAAAAGTAGACTCACAAAGTAGGCTTTTTGTGGCTAAGTTTATTAAAACAGTAAACATTAAGCTAGTGCAAAACATTCCATGCACAAAGTAGATTATTTCAGGTCAACGGTGGTTCAGTCATCAAACTCATGCATTTTGAGTAGATATTCTTTTTTGGGGGGGCAGGAACTGGAGAATGAGAAAAGTTTGTTGATGATATCTAAGGGGAGATAGGGAAAGAAAGCCACTAGGAAGATTGAGGAAAAGGAGGAGTGGGTAGACCAATTGGATATGTTGCCCTGAGAAACTGAAAAATTCACAAGGACAGCTGCAAGAGCTAAGGAATTATGAATGAAAAATAGATTCAGGGGTTTTTTTTTGTATTCAGATCAAGTGGAATCAAAATCAGAAAATACATCAGGAGAGGATGGATAACAGATGTGAACCACAACAGAAAGTGTATCTGGCAGGTATTCTCAGAATATTGTATCTTTTAGCATATTATACCTAAAGATGATGACTAGATTTTCATACTACCTGGCATCAAGATCTCAATATTGGGATAAAAGCCCAATGAAGCTCTAGATTAGCTTTAGTAGCTGTCCTGGAAACGGCTACATTACTACTTGAGATATGAATGCTGATTCGTCAGTTGGACAATAAAATACACTTGAAATCATCTATGGCAAATGATCAGTTTTAGTTATACTGCACAACAGATCCACTTAAAAAAAGATTTTGGAGTAATGAGAATAGAGGTTGGAGGTAAGAAGTTCTCAGCTTGACTCAATAGGAAAAGTTTTTAAAAGGTTTTTCTTTGTTAGAAATGCAGCAGGAAAACTAAAATACTGAAACCATAAGGGCAGTTGTGTTGCAATTGAACATTCGGGAATGTTCGATTTCTCTTTCAAGCCATGCGGAACAGTTTTGTGGCATAGTTTAGTAGTTTTCTTAAAAGTTAATCTTTCTGGAAAACCACCATCCATGTTGAACACCATAAATCATTTTTAATTTGGGAGATGAACTTCCCCAAGAAAACAGCTGGATCACCTAGACGAGAAATTGAATGTTTTGGAAATGTTCTGGAATCACCTAGTTCATGTCAGGTAGTCTAGATAGGAAGCATACCCAGATGAACTAATTCTACTTTATTGTAAGGTTACATTAACAGAATCTTGCAAGTCTGAAAGTACATTTCTCACCTGTTACTTTTACAGCCCAGGAAACCAGGGAGGGTTCCTTCCTTCAGAAGGAACTGAGATGTTTGCCACCCCCCACATTCCTGCTGCAAGCTAAGCTGCCTCTTATCCAACCGTTCCCCTGGTTGTGGGCTCTTCTCAATCTCCCAAGGTCATTCCCACATACCATTGCATTCCCACATACCATTGCATCTATGACCTCTTATTGACTAGTTTTTTTTTCCTAGTCAATAAGAATTTTTTTTCTTCCTCATACTCATCTGAAGTGCTACTATTTCTACCAAAGCATTTCTTTGGAGAGATTTACATTTATTTTTCAGCTACTGATTTTATTACTGTTTTTCCTCAATTATTTACTGATTGTGGTACAACCCCTCTGCTTTGATTGTGTAAGCTACTTTAGTCCAGTTTCTCTTTTAATCTCTATTCCATGGCTATACAGCAGAGTCTTTTCTGAGCTGTTTTGCAGGTTTCCTGCCTGAGGGTGTAACACTAATTTTTCAGGGGCTTTGTTTTGCCTATAGTCTTGGCAGCCTCAACACATCAGTTCAGTATTAGGAGCTTTAACTTCCCAACTACTTCTCACCCATTGGTTTCTGTTTAGTTCAAAGGTGCAAAAATACAGCTGTTACCATCCTTTTGTGGCCCAAGAAGCTTCTCTTCCCAAAGTGTAAGGGGAAAAACATGGACCCTTTCTTTTGCCCTAGGGTATGTGTGTATGTGTTAAGGGGAAAGCACCCCACAAAGAAGCACTGGGGATGTTTAAAACACTCATTTTACCTCTTAAAATTCCTGAAGTCCTTTCATCAAGTCTCTAGTGCAGTCCTCGAGCCAACAGATGTTCTGTAGGCCTGATCTAGTTCTTTCCCACTAAGGTCATGTATAACAACTTTTAAATGGACTATGGCATGAACAACATTACGTTAAATGTATAGTTACTACTTTAACTTGTATCCTACTGATTTCATTGATAGAAACTGTTATGCCAAGAATGCATTTTCACAGAAACTACTTCTTGATTGGACCCCCCTAACTCAGTCCTTTTATTAAAATTAGTAATTAAAATTAGGAAGTTACACCATAAAGTTCTACCCAAAATTTTCAAGTTTGGCTTCAAGCCATAGCAAAATGCTATTTTTCATATAAATGAGAGGAACAACTGTGCACAGCAACATCACCTAATAATACTGTGGTTGTAGTTGTACTGAAATTAAAGAATACAAAATTACAAACCATTCCTTGCCAAGGTGGTGGTGGTCCCATGTTGTGAAATTCTCTCACATAATCATTGTATGACTAGAAAAAAAGAAAATGCATATATAAGAATGTCAAAATCAAGCAACATTAAAACCATCTACAGCTACCACACATGAAAGATCATATACTTACCCCATTTAGGAAGACATCTCTCCGAACTCCTGAAAATCGTCTGTTGGGAATAAGATTTGTTAAATTAGACACAAAT